TTCCGGGACCTTTTCTGTAACTATATATAGATATATAGACGCCAGTTACCTTACGGATTTTTCCAAAGCACTTTTCAAATCTCCTGCGACAATGTCTAAGGATTTCAAGTGTCAAAGAATTTCAGGGGTGAAAAATTTCAAAAGTAGAGCAGATTTTATTTTTTTTTTTGCAATAATAATAATGAAAGGTCATGTACCTCAAAAGTTGAGATATGAATTGCGGAAATATTTTAACGGTTCCTTTTAAAGAAAAAAATATTTTTCTTCTCCTAAACAAAAGTAAAAATGTTCAGCATATGAACAAATTTTTTATTTTAATGAAAAATTGGTATTTATATAGTAGAATAAAAGGAAAATTTGCGAATTTTAATTTTATTGTTAAAAAAAGAAATGGAAAAGAATTATTTTTGTCTAAACATATTATACTAGTTTTAAAAACGAGGAAATGAAGAAAGAAATAAAAATATTCGAAAACTAACGGTAAGAATGAAACTGGTCCCTTCGATGCAGATTTCAAGGACGAAATGTTTCGGTTAGTGAGCACGTGTCTTGAGATGGGTGACGTAAACACAAAGATTGCACGAGGTTTGAATATATCTATATATATCTACACAGGATTCAAAAAAAAGAAGAAAAATAATAATGGTCCATGAGAAATGCTTAACGGCTGCTAAGTGAGTCTTGCGAAACAGGATCTGACCACTGAAGGGTACGGAGAATATTCCGAATAGTATATGTATACATAAAACAAGACAAAAAAAGCAACAGGCCTCACGGCAAGTTTCTACGTCGTTAAAATGGAAATTTTTGCTGTTTTTTTTCTATATTGAAAACCAGAAAGTCCGTATTCTATTTTAATAAATAAAAATTAATATCAACTTCGTTTTATTTGCCATTTATTTATGATGAGGCAAAATTTAGAATCATTTTTAGAAAACAGGTTCAATTTTTCCAAAATATTATTGAGAAATTATTATTCTTACTCTGTAAATAATATATATTTTGTCTACAAATTAAATTAAAATTTGCTACAAATTGAAGTTTTGAACAGAAAGTAAAATAAATTTATTTACCAAAAATAACAAGAGATATTATACCTTTCAAAGTGATCGAAAACATTTCTTTAATAGATCACTGAACGCAGAATTTTACAAGCTTTGATTTAAGAACAAGAAGTTATGAAAATATTTTAACAACGTTATGAGATATCTTAAAAAATCTCAAAGCATCAATTTTTCAAAAATAGCACAAAAATACTGCTTGAACGATTTTCACGATATCTTAGGAATGCTTAGACATTTTTTCTTTGTTAAAGTCTCAAATTAAAGCTGAGGTTTCACTAATAATTTTCTATTAATGACAGATTTTTTCTTGAATTTCTGCAGATTTTGCAGTATATCAATGTTTTCGCACAGAAAATGAAAAATTACTTAATTTTTCTCCTAAACTTAGGGAGTGATAAAATTGTTCTAAATTATCAAAAAAAATGTTTACTAATAGGTGGTTAGACGCAGAAATTTACAACCTTTAATTTAAGACCAAAATCGATAAAAAAATGTTAATAATTGTAAGAAATATTATAAAAAAGGTCCAAGTATCAATTTTTAAAAAAATTCACAAAAAATATGATGAAACATTTTTCACGATATCTTGGGGACGCTTAGATATTTTTTGTTTTTTTTTATCTCAAATTAAAGCTAAAGTTAGCCTGATAATTTTCTGTTAATGCCAGATTTTTTCCAGAATTTCTATACATTTTGCAGCATATTAATTTTTTTCAAACAAAAATTGAAAAATTAGTACATTTTTGTTTGAAACTTATGGAATGATAAAATTTTTCTGAATTATCGAAAATACTTTTACTACATGTCGTTGGACGCAGAATTTAACAAGCTTTAATTTAAGACCAAGAACTCAGAAAAATATTGAAAAGTTTACAAAATATAATAAAAAATGTACAAGTATCAATTTTTCTAAAATATCACAAAAAGTCGGCTTGAACATTTTTTATGACAAATTTGCAATGGTTTATGACTTTTGCATTTTCTGGTCTCAAATTAAAGCTGAGTTTTGCCAGATAAAGTTTTGTTAATGATAGATTTTCTGTAGAATTTTTCTACGTTTAGGAGTATATATGTTTCTTCATAAAAAGTCAAAAATTGCTAAATTTGTATACTATATTTAGAGAGTGATGAAAATTTTTCCAAATTATCAAAAAGTATTTTCTAATAGTGCGTGTGACGCAGAATATTATAACCTTTAATTTATGACCGAGAATGCAGAAAAATATTAATAATTTTACAAAATATCTTCAAAAACGTCAAAACGTCAATTTTTGAAAAATATACAAAAAAATGTGTTTGAACGTTTTCTATGATATCTTGAGAACATGCTAATATTTTTCCAATTCTTTTGTCTCAAATTAAAGCTTAGGTTTTACTGATGATATTCTGTTAATATCATGCTCTTTCTTTGAGTTTTTATAGATTTTGCAGCAGTTTAATGTTTTTGCACAGAAAGTGAAAAATTACTAAATTTTTGTTCTAAACTTAGGGAGTGATAAAATTTGCCAAAACTATCAAAATACTATGTATAATAGGTCGTTGGACGCAGAATTTTACAATCTTGAATTTAAGACCAAGAACAAAAAAAAATATTAACATCTACTCGAAATATTAATAAAAATGTCGAAGTATGAATTTTTCAAAAATAGCACAAAAAGACTGCTTGGACGTTTTTTATGATATCTTGAAAACGCGTTAATTACATTAATTGTTTTTGGTCTCAAATTAAAGCTGGGGTTTCTCTAATAATTTTCCTTTAATTCCAGACTCTTCCATGAGTTTTTATCGGTTTTGCAGCAGTTCAATGCTTTTGCACAGAAAGTGAAAAATTACTAAATTTTTGATCTAAACTTAGGGAGTGATAAAATTTGTCAAAACCATCAAAATACTATGTATAATAGCTTGTAGGGCGCAGAATTTTACAACCTTTAATTTAAGGTCAATAGCACAAAGAAATATTAACATCTTCTCGAAATAATAATAAAAATGTCGAAGCATCAATTTTTCAAAAATAGCACAAAAAGACTGCTTGGACGTTTTTTATGATATCTTGAAAACGCGTGAACCATTTTTATTCTTTTTTGTCTCAAATTAAAGCTGAGGTTCTACAGATAATTTCTCTTTAATTCCAGACTCTTTTTTGAGTTTTTACCGGGTTTGCAGCAGTTCAATGTTTTTACACAGAAAGTGAAAAAGTACTAAATTCTTGTCCTAAACTTAGGGAGTGATAAAATTTGTCTAAATTATCAAAATATTGTGAATAATAGCTCGTTGGACGCAGAATTTTACAACCTTGAATTTAAGACCAAGAACACAAAAAAATATTGACATCTGCTCGAAATATTAATTATTATGTCGAAGCATCAATTTTTCAAAAATATCATAAAAAGACTGTTTGGACGTTATCTATGATGTCTTGAAAACGCGTTAACTATTTTTATTGTTTTTGGTCTCAAATTAAAGCTGGGGTTTCTCTGATAATTTCCTCTTAATTCCAGACCCTTCCTTAAGTTTTTATAGATTTTGCAGCAGTTCAATGTTTTTGCACAAAAAGTGAAAAAGTATTAAATTCTTGTTCTAAACTTAGGGAGTGATAAAATTTGTCTAAATTATCAAAATATTGTGAATAATAGCTCGTTGGACGCAGAATTTTACAATCTTGAATTTAAGACCAAGAACAAAAAAAAATATTAACATCTACTCGAAATATTAATAAAAATGTCAAAGCATCAATTTTTCAAAAATAGCACAAAAAACTGCTTGGACGTTTTTTACGAAATCTTAGAAATTTTCAGACAAGTTTTGTAGTTTTTTGGTGTTAAATTAAAGCTGAGGTTTCACTGATAATTTCCTTTTAATTCCAGACTCTTCCTTGAGTTGTTATAGATTTTGCAGCAGTTCAATATTTTTGCACCGAAAGTGAAAAAGTACTAAATTTTTGTCCTAAATTTAGGGAGTGATTTTTTATCTTCAATATTTCTATAGATATTGACCCAATTTCAATAGATTGTATACAAACATAAATTCAATATAATTCTCAAAAAACGAAACTTCTATTTTTTTTAGCTACTATTTTGAGAAAAAAAACAGGTACCATAACAAATATTTGATTTCCCATTTTTATAATTCCTATATAGAAACTTTAAAAGCTATAATACAAAAACTGTCATTTCAAATCAAAGAGTCAATCATTGAAGAAAATTGATGAAGCCATAAAAAAAATTTTTTATTCCCTCTCCCTCTCTTATATAAAGAAAAAAGCGCGTGTCCTCACAGCGTGCATGCAATATATCTGCCCTCTTATAAGAAACGTTATATGGTAATAATAATAATAATAATAATATATCCTTATACCATAGTACAAGGACACGTGCTTTCAAGTGTATATAACCATACAGAAGAGTCCTCAGCCACGCGCAAATGGTTCCCGAAGATCCTAACGACTCTTCTGCATAAAATATCAATATAAATAAAAAAAAAAAATTTTTTTTTTTGATCATATCCAATGAAAAGAAAGAAAAGGACGGCACCTGGATAAAATTCCCATGGATGATGATACTTCGGGGATGAAAAATCCGTTTCGCGGTGCAATCATAACAATAGACAAGAGAGTAACAATCATAGATATAGAGACAGGAAGGAAGAGGATGATATGAAACAGGTAAGGGTGAGGGAGGGGGAAGGGGGTTTAAAAATCGGACAAACTCTTGCGCCCTATTTCTCCCCCCCCCCTTCCTTCTATTTTAAATCTTTACGCGTCTGATTGGTGGAGAATCCTCCCTTAATGCGACGTTCCTTCAAAATCTCGTTTTTCTATTGTACACGATATTTTCCCAGGGCCTCCTGTTGCTCAAGGGGTCCTAAAAATTTTGTTAGGGTCCCCCATCACTATATAAGGGCTTCACCCTTTGCAGTTCGACACAGTTCACTCCTCGATCGTCGACGAACGAACATCAAACCGAAGAGCGATACCAGGCCGGCTGGTCCGGCCTGGTAACTCTATTTACCATCTGAGAAAATAGAAAAATTCGTCGACAGTCAAAATTTTTTAATTTATCAACAAAAATTTCTCCGCGTTATTCAGTTAGTGATCTAATCGGAAGTGCTCCAATTTTTTTCTGTCGCAGATCGAGGCAAACATCAAAGTCTATATCAACGCAAATAAATAAGCGGTGAGTTCCCTTTCGGCTTTTTTCTTGGCTTAAAAACTTAAAAAAAATTTTCCGGTTTTGGTGCTTCGATAGACTACTCGAAAATAATTTTTCAATCTTTCATTTTTTGCGGCGATAACACCTTTAACCGCGAAATTTTGTTTCGAGTGTTCAAATCCGCTACTTGACTCAATAGTTTTTTGAAAAACGGAAAAATTCCATTTTTTCAGCAGTTGATAACCAAATTTTTTTTTTTTTTTTGAATTCATTTTTACTAGTGAAATAGAAAACTAAAGTTGTGTTATTGCAAAAAATTCAAATCTTGTTTACAGTTTCAAAACGAAATTGATTTTTGAAATTTGTTAGAAAAGAAATTCGTTTTTCAAATTCAACAGTTGAAAACTGTTGTTAAATCAAGAAAGTATTCGAAATTCAAAACTGAAAATTTAAGAAAATTTTCTCACTCAAGTACAAAATTATTTTTTGCAATATCTCGTACTTTTTAAAATACCAATTTCACTCTTGATTCAAAATACAAAATTTATTTTCAAAATCACGCAGAGTTTTATTGTTTATTTTCAAATTCAAAAATAATTATTATTCAAAACGAACACAAAATTACTTTTCCAAAAAAAATGAATTTTTCCGTTTCGATTAATTTTCGGGGTCCAATTATACACAGAAAAATAATTTTGGCAGTTCCGTGTAAACATTTCGATCAAATTCACCTATTTTTGAAAAAGAAAAAATTTACAGCCAGTTTTTTAAAAAAAATGGTCCACATCTAAATTCGTGTATACAAAATAATTCGCTTTCTACTTTTCAATAACAATAATAATAATTATTTATTGACAGATTATTGCGAAAAAGTATTGTTGTTATTATTGACAGAAAATTTATTGTTATTGACCAGTTATCAAGATAATTAACGCCGTGTTATTGTTGCAGAAAAATAAAAAAATAAAACAAATTGAATATTTTTAAAATACGAATTTTGGCATTGGAAATTTTTTATTCAAAAACAAAAATGAAAAGAAAAATATATCTGTATATAATTGAATAAAAATAAATTCTCATGGGATTACTAGTGCAAATTGAAATGGACCATTAAAAAAATTTGGCATTGGAAAAATAAAAAATTAATTTAGTAAATAATTGAAAATAAAAAATATATTAGAAAAAAATTCAAGATCGAAATTTTCATCAAACGCGAAAAATATGAAAGTTAGCTCAAAGCATTAGAATCTGTCATTTTTGTTTGAAAAACAAAATCACTTGAGGCAAAAAGTCGTAGTCGAAGACGCTAAACATGGAGAAAAAAATTTACAATCTCTAGGCACTACTCTATCCAGGCACTAAGACCCGATTCGGAATTCTAAAAAAAAAAATTTCCAGAAATTTTTTTTGGAAATTTCATTTATTACTTTTCTTCTATTAGAACTAAATTTGAATAACTAAATAATTAGTTTTTTTCCAATTCTTAACTAATTAATTTCGATATGAAAAAAAATTCCGATTCTATAAAAACCACATTTTTAATGCATTATCAAAATTTAATTCCTTTTGACTAAAATGAAAATTTCATTGAAACAAAATTAAATTTTGAAGTTAGAAAATTAACTGTTGTTCAAAATTGGATTTTGAACTTTAAAAATCGAAAATTAGATGAAAAATTTAAAATCAAAACAAATTTTTGTCTATAATGCTCTCCAAATTTGAACCTCTGAGACCAGATCAAAATTTTTTTTCACTAAAATGGAAAATTCAGAATTAAAATTAAATTTCAAAATTAAATGAAAAAATGGATTTCAAAATTAAACTGTTCAGTTTCACGACAGAAATCAAAATTGAAATCAAAATTGTACTTTCAAATTAAAATCAAAATTGATATTAAAATTGAAATCAAAATTGTACGTTCAAAATTGAAATCAGAATTGAAATCAAAATTGTACCTTCAAAATTGAAATCAAAATTAAGTTTCAAATGAAAATCAAAATTTATTTTTAATTTCGAAATCAAAATTCCATTTTAAATCGAAATGAAAAATTCATACTGCAATGAAAATATTAACAAAATTAATAACAAATTTAGTTGTAAATAGAATTAAAATTGACTTTTGTGTTTTTCTTCTGAAAAATCATGTAGTTCTTTATTGCAAATTTTTTTAGTTATAAAATAGAAATCAAAACTGTAGTTTACAAATAGAAAATCTGTAGTTACAAATCGATACCAAATTGTAGATACGCAAATATTAGAAAAATCAAAATGTAGTTATACAAAAAAATAGAAACAAAAAATATAGTTATAATGTATCAAAAAATTCTGTAGTTACCAGTCAAGTGTGAAGAAAAAAAACAAATGTAGTTACAAAATTGAGTGAAAAATTAGTTACAAAAATTATTTATTTGCACAAATTTTCTTGATTTTTGAATGCACTGCACTAATTTTTTTTTCGTGTTCCAAAATTGTCCCGAAAAAAATTCAACTGGTGAATGAAGAAAATCAAAACAACGCAAAAAAAAATATCTCCAGTTTCAAAATTTAATACAAATTTAATCTCTAATAAAAAAAAAATTATTCTGAAATTAATCAAAATTCAAATTTAAAAAGAAACAAATTTTAATATTTTAAATGAAAATGAAAAATCAAAATTCAAAAATCGAAATTCTTTTTCATCACCAAGTGAATTTCTTATTCCGGGCAAAACTATTTTTCCTGTTGCATTTTTTTGATTGTACACAGAATTTTTTACTGCACATAAAAAGTATTTAGATAAAGACTGATTCAAGTACAAAAAGAAAATGAAAAAAATTTATGAAATAAAATAGTTAATTTATTGAAATTCATATATATTTAGTCATAATATAATTCATAGATTAGCACCTAATTGTGTCTGTGTTGATATTTCGATAGTAGACGAAAAATTAAAAGTAGAAATAATAGAACTGCATAAAAATTTATCACGTCGCATAAATGAAAAAAAAAATTAAAAATATCGCAACACTCGAAAATTTTGAAATGAAAAATAAATCCGTTCTTTGAATTTTTATTCCAAGTATAGTAAAAATTCACAAGATGGTCGTTGAAAATAAATTCACAAACAAACAAAAGGCGACTGATAAATTTCAAAATTCACAACCAAATTATGCATGTTTTTGATTTTTGAGACTGAAAATTAGTTGTTAGTGAAAGAATTCCAAAATAAGTGTTCAAAAAACAAGCAAAAAATAAAAAAAAAACTGTCGTAAAGAAAATAGTAAAAAATCATGTAAAAAATTGTTTAAACAGTTTAAAAATGGGGGTAAAAATAGTAAAAAAAAAATTTGGTCAAAAAATAAAAACATTTTGATAAAAATAATAAACATTTTGGTAAAAATAGTAAACATTTTGGTAAAAATAACAAAAGGGTAAAAGTAATAAAGGGTAAAAAATACGAAAAAGATTTTTAAAAAACAGTACCTGAATCAAAAATATAGACAAATAGTAAAAATACAATAATAATCTAAAAATACAATAAAAAAATTTTTTTTTTAAAACAATAAAAATTATTTGCAAGCGGAAAATTTCTTTTCATAAAAATTTGGAATTCTTTCAATCTAAAATTTGGCTCCTTCATTTTTTGTTCCTTTTTCTTCAATTTTAGTTATGTTTTTATCATTTTGCTACACTTGTTTGGCAAAAAAAGAAAAAAATGAAAAATACAATGAAAACATATTGGTTTTCCGTCAACCACACAACAGTTTGTCTTTTAACTCCCCCACTGCCCCCTTTGCCCCATTCAGCCAGGAAATAAAATATTGCAGCATATATGCCAATCAATATATTTCCAACTGTCAGATTTCATCCGAAATGTACCGAAAGTTTTTCAGAAATTTAAACATTTTTTTTTCATATTCATTTAAATATCCTAACGAGAAACGAAAAAAAATAATTTAAATTTAAATTGTTGAAATTTTCGTTTTTTTTTTCCTTTTGGAATATGAAAAAAAAGAATAAAAAGATTCTCAAGCGGAAATCCTGAAATTAATATATCTATATTGTTATTAATGAGAAGAGCAGATATATTTTTCTTTTTTTTTCTTTTTAATTTTGAAATCACGATAAAATTAAAAGGTTCTAGTCACTTCCGCCATCAAAAGCATTATAACAAGTGCATTTTCAATGAGAAACGCTTATAAACCGGAAGTACCCACCCCTCGACTTTTATTCACATGAAAACTGGGTGGCAATTTATGCACCCCTCGTTGACTCTCTCCTCTCTCTCTCTCTCACTCTCTCTCTATAAACATACACCAACCTGTCAAATTTCACGAAGCAACAAGTCAAATAAAAAAAAAATTATGTTTTTAATCAATTTTTTATTGGTCGATTTTTCTCAATAAAGAGAAAAGAAGAAAAAATTGGAATTCGAAATTCAGAATTTATTTTTCCTATATACTACTGAATTTTTCTAATTAAAATATTTTTGAACAAATTTGGAATATATTTTTTCTGCCAAAAAAATATATCGGAAAATTATTATTTTACAAAAATTGCAAATTTTTTTTTAGAAAATTGAACCAATTAAAAGTTTTTTAAAGACACGATAGAAAAAAAATGAAAATAAAAAAATATTGAAAAAAATGTTCAATGGAAAAAATAAATAAAATAAAATATACTTATTAAAAAAAATGATAAGTGCAAAAAAAAGAACTCAAAATTGTGGTTTTGAAATAACAGAAAGTAAAGGAAAAATTACATTCTATTAAGAAAATATTTTTTAAAACTGCAATAATAAAAATGGCAAAAATTTTAAATCGGTTATTTTAATATTCTAGTCAAATTCAGATTTTGATTCAAAAGACAAATTCGAAAAATATGCAAAACAATAGAAGTTTTTATCTCTTGGCAATTTTGGTGCATAAGATGACATTTTTTCTTTCGCAAACGAAATTATATTTTTCAAATCTGTTATAAATAAGCAATAAAATACAAAAATTATTCTTTGATTTTAATATTTTTGCAACATTTTTATTACAGAC